GCATCAGCAGCATCAGGGCCTTTCTCTTCCTCTCCAAGCAAGCCCCATCACAGGCATAAAAGCAGCAAAACAAGCCTCGGCATGAGCCCTAGGGATCCGTGCTTCCCTTGAAGCCCTAGATGCCCTTTCAGGTGTTCGTGAATGGCTTATTTTCGTGGCAAGCCCTATCCCAAGCTCCGGGTTCTACATGACACCCTGCCACCCTGCGTAGTACAGGGCCTGTACCCCGCGTCGGCAATCCTGGTCGAAACCTCAATCCCTCCGTAATCTTAAGCCCGAGCCCCAAGTCCTATCTCAATGCGCAACCTTAGGGCCTACACCTACACCCCACTACTACCCTTGCTTACGTAATCCTGGTCTCGTGGAGCCTGGAGGATTTGAGCTTGGCCGGGAGCAACCCAGTCTTTGGTGATGTTGGCGCCCCTGGCAGCAGCGTTGCGGAGTCAGCCAGGAATAGCCCTCTGCGCGAAATCCCTTACCCAAGCCTCTGCAAGCAGTTGCAACATGTGTATACATATACAAAATATATGTATTTTCACTTATTTATTTCAACCCCTTCAATTCATTCTGATAACTTTCCTGAAGTGGTACCTTACTGCATCCTTGCATAGTATGACAAGACTCTGGTGTCAGGCATGGCTACCATCGCTCGGAAGAGTTTTGGTTGGCTTTTGGCGTCAACTGAGAGTCAAATGAGCTATAGTCTAAACTCCTAGTATCCCCCTTCATAACTCTATAATAGTCCCCGACATAACCCCAGTTCAGGAGTTTAGACTATAGTTCAAATGAGTCAGCTATGCCTGGAGAAGAGGAGCTTGCCATCCTCCAGGGCATTGAAGGTCAGCTCAGCCTGTTCGCAACTTCCAAGCTCGTGTTTCTGGGTGGGACGTGGGAGTTTTCGAGAATAGGAGCCGTAGTCCTGTAAACGGGAAGTCCCCTAAGGTTGGGGAACACCCATTTGGAAAGCAAATTCAGGGTTTAGGGTTTAGGGTTTAGGGTCTAGGGTTTAGGGTTTGGGGCTTGGCCCGTCCCTGCTTCCCCTCTGAGCGATGACTTTCGAAAATCCGCATCGACCGAATCCATTGCAAAATTCATCAACAGCAAAGTAGCTTCTTTCTACCCACCTGAGGTTCCTACGGAATGGAGGATAAATCCCTCTCGTCGTCCCCCCAATACTAATCACTAATCCCATTCCACAGTCTTTGATTCTCTACTAGAGTCCCCCTTAAGTAGATAGAATATGGCTTTGGGTGTATTATCATAAGATCCCCATATATACTCCATATTCTATCTACTTAAGGGGGACTATACCCTAAACCCTAAACCCTATATTCTATCTACTTAAGCGGGTCTATAACCACACAGAAACTCTAGAGTCCCAAGCCAGGATGTGGTTTTTTGACAATCCACTCGTGCAAGCAGCAATAGCCATTAGAATACTCAGAAATGTGGTTTAGGGCCTATAGGGCTTGTAATGGTAGACAGTAACAATGACAGATAACAACAACAATGAGCATATAAGTTCTGATACTTATCACCAATAGTCATATCGTGGACTCCACTGCCCCCCCCCCCTTATCTATCCGCCCTCTTACTTCCCCCTTATGAAGGTTCGGTGAGGATACACAGGGCTAATCAAAGAAAGAAATAAGGAAGCTTGGGAAGAGTGGCTAGCAGAACTTAAATCCAAAACCCTGAACCCTAAACCGTGAATCCTGAACCCTAAACCCTAAATCACAAACCCTAAACCCATAAGCACAGCGCCAGCCTGGAAGTAGCCCCGGCTGTGATTCTCGGCCTCAGGCTGGAAAATCAGGGCTGCTCCAAAAAAAGTGAGGTAGTCGCCAGGGTTTAGGCTGTGGGTAGTTTTCCCTTTTCAAACATAAGGGAAACCCAACATAGACCCTGATATACTCATCCGCCTATCTACCCTATATATCCGTATAGAAAGCCCCTATGTTCCCTGTAAAAAGATCCCTACTGTTAGGAAACGCCCAGGTAGCCCCTATAGGATTGCACCCTGCAGGCCAAGATTCGGTACCCGCCCGACAAGCTACTTACTGCAGAAGCCAGAATTGCAAGCAAAAAAAGATGGAGAAGACGCCAAACCATTTGCTTTAGGGTTTGGGGTTTAGGGGTTTAAAGGCTTAGGACGTAGGGTTTAGGGGTTTTGAGGCTTAGGGTTTACGGGTTCCACCGTTACACCTTGTGAGACGAAAGCATCCTTTCATATAACTTGGAAGTCCAACATGCCAAGATGATGCACAGGCGGTAGAGAAGCTTTTCTTGTTGCAACGCCCAGAGTTTTCTTCCGTGGACCTGTGTACCAGTGAACACACCTACATGTGGGGATTTCCAAAATTAGAGGTCCCCTCCTGAGGTTAGTTTAGGCTGTAGGTTTTAGGTCTATGGTTAAGGGCTTAAGGAGTTCCAAAATTAGAGGTCCCCTTCTGGGGTTTAGGGTTTAGTTTGTAGGTCCTTGTAATCAGGGCTAGAATATATTGGGGTACTGCAGGGCAGCCCCAAAATTTTGGAGGGATTTATGTACCCTATTCGAAATACACTCCACACCGATCGTCATGCAAACGCTTCGCGGAATCCTCGGCGAGACTGCAGGTCCAGCGACTTCCACTGCTATAATAACACTTGTTACTGATGTACATAATACCTATCCGGGGGTATCCAAGAATTGCGGCTCCTCATAGTAAGGATTAACAAATCCTGGTGTCTATATTGGGTCTCCCCCTGTATAATGTTTATGGAAACGTCCACGTAATATATTAGTTAGGAGGACCCCCCACCCTGTAATAGTGGCATAATAGGAATATCACCCTTATCAATATAAACTTATTATCCATAATAGTCACTATTACAGGGTGGGGGGTCCACCTAATACATTAGTGCTGTTGCCGAGTCCTTCCTGTTCTGGTCAGAGATGCTCTCAGGGCGGGGCCAAAGCCGCGACCAAACCCCCACCGCTCTTGGCAGTGTAAACCCTCGGCACGGTTTAGGGTTTAGGATTTAGGGTTGAGGGTTGGGGTTGAGGATTCAGGATTGGGGTTTAGAGTGTAGGGCTTTGGATTCCCAAGCCGATGGGAATATGCCAAAAGATCTCCTCATGATGTCGCAACTTGTTTTGAAAAAAGAATGTGAGGATTGTCCATGAACAGAATGTGAGGGCTTTCCTTGACCTCCCTGCTAGGAATAAGAACTACCAGGTTGACTAAAAACAGTTGGATCTTGTAAATTGCTCGGCGCACGGGTTCCTCTTTGAGGCAGCTGATGCACACTTGGCATGGCGCACCTCTCATCACAAAGGATCATAGACTTCAGCAGGAACCACCACTCAACCACGCAATGCCAAATAAGGTGCAGAAAAGCTATCTACATTTCATTGGCGTATGATCCAGGCAGAGCGTTGCCATGAGGATGACAAGCAAAAGCATGCAAAGCTGGGGTACAGGCTTCGCACCGTGGAAGGTGTCAGGAGATTGGTCCGTTGACCTGGCTGTCTGAGGCATTAACAGAAGCAATACCAATACTTGTCCTGATCATGGTATTAAGAGGACTAGTAACCATGCTGGTAATAACCTTGTAATAGTCAACCATAACAATATTAACAAGTGAGGCTGCTGACAGCCACTGGAGGTTTATCGGGGTAGAGAGGATGTTCGCGAGCAAATGACTGATATCTTCAGAAGTATGTTTAACTTCATGCTCCTGGGTGAAGCAGGCCACTGTGGCTTGATGAAGGCGCTCCACGATGCCATCACAGCCTCAGCAGGCAAAGTTACTCCATTAGACCCAGCTGCTTCCTTGATTGCAGCGCATTGTCGGAAACTTGAGCAGCCAGAAGTGGTGCTCAGCAAATTGGTACTCACCCCGGGCAATAGCAGCCGAATTGCGGATTCCGAGAAGGTGTGCTCCTGGATCTGCACAGCTTTCCGGCTGAAACAGGAGAAGACCTGAGTTCAGAACTCGGATCGCAGGGGATGTAAACAAAGTGTATCTATTGGGAGTTGACCTGGATATGTCCACAGGGTCTCAAAGTTCAAAGCAATGAAGGTAGACTTGGGTAAGAGCTCAACCTATGTTCCCCCCTTAAGTAGATAGAATATGGCTTTGGGCATATGTGAATATGTAAAATCAGAAACTACGGGTTCAGGGTTTAGGCTTTAGCTTCGTCGCTAGTTAAACTAAACAAGACTATAGTCTTCTTAACCGTACAGAGATGTACAATATACTGTCCGTTTTTGCCTACATGGGCTACAGTATATGATAATAAGATCCCCATATACCCCAAATTCTATCTACTTAAGTGGGGGACTATAGCGTATTAGAGCTTGGGAAGCTGCAAAGTTGCAACCGGCCTCATTCTTAGATTTAAGGTTTAGGGTTTTGGGACATAAATGCGTGTCAGCATGCTTCTACTTTGAGAGGTCCCGCAACACCAAAAGGTCTATCATGTCATTAGGCGTCTCTTTTTTGGGCAGTGAATTGTAGAACAAACCAGCCAAGTATGGAGAGACTATTAGAGGAGGATTCTGGACCCTTCCTCTCATCCGTCTTCCGCTGAAAACACTGACGCCCAAAGAGCCAACACCAGTTCTAGATCTATGCCGGCCGCAAAACAGAGCAAAAGGGTCCAAGGACCCAACTAAGAGGGTTTTAGGGCCCAAATACCATAATTTTTGATGGTACCTAGGCCCTAAAACCCTACTATTTGGGTCCTGGCACCCTTAGGGACAGCAGAAAAGGGCAGCCGAGGAGAGGACCACCGGCATCTCTTCCCGCTCATGCAGGCTCAATGGCAGCAGAAAGTAGGAGACTCCTGAATAAGGTTTATCCGGCTGGTTGAAAACAGGCTACAGTTGGTTATCCTTGACGAACCCCGGTTTCAACGAAAACAAAAAATCAAGTCTTACCATATTGGGGGCGACAATATAAGTCACCAGATATGATTTCTGTTTGGGATACGTTGTGCTCAGTGGAAAAGGACGAGAGCAATTGGCATGCTCACACATGACCACGCCGCAAGATCGCAAGATAGCAATCCCTTGTTCAAAGCGCCAGCCGATCAGAATGCTTCTGTGAGGATAATCCCCCAGAGGGCTAGTGGTAGAGACCAGGCCCACCATGCAAGCATGTAGCCTTGCTCTACTGACTTCAGTTATCATTAGGTAGCGAAAGGTCTTCGGCTTAGTGGCGAGAGGTCTTTGGCTTAATGGCTTCCAAAAAATCCAAGGCCCCAAATTCCGTCAAGACGTATTCAAACCTTACTGAACATTGAAACGCCGCAAAGCCCGGCATTTTTGGAAGCTCCCTTTTAGAGGTCCAAGTACCCAAATAACAAGGCTTCAGGGTACCTGAAACCTCGAGGTTTGGGTACTTGGACGCTCAAGATGCAAGGACATTTTCAAGCTCAGCGCGCGGCCTAAGCCCTAATTGGGCTTGTATACCCCTGATCCCTCTAGGGTAATCTCTAGGGTAATCTCGAGACCCCAACCAAATCCTAATTCCTAAAACTTAAACCTTGATCCCTAAACCCTAAACCCTGATGCTCAGGGTTCAGGGACACACTCAGGCTCAGCGCACGGCCAGGCTTCAGCCAGCAGTCGGCAGACACCACAGCTCGGCAACGGGGGTGGCCAACCTCGGACCCCTCGGTTTATTACCATTACTTAGGGTCTGGGGTGTCATGTTTGTCATTTTTCTTGAAATTTTGAAAAGTTGAAATTTGAAAACTAAGGAAATTTGTGGACCCTAAGTAAGGGTTTAGGGTTCCCAAAGGGTCTATGTAGGAAAAGAGTATGCCTAGGGCCCAAAGTGGCTTCCATGTAGCTACATAGCCCTGAGATGCCCTAAGGGTCCAAGTGCCCAAGTAATGTGGCTTTAAGATACCTAAAACCCCCAATGTCTACGAAAATAATCAAGTTAAGGTACCTACATCCCCCCAATTGTTGCGTACTTGAACCCCTCAGGGTACGTTTCATGCCCACTTTGAAGTCGTGAGTCTACCAGCCCGAAAACGGTCTCTACCACCCCGGGTGTTTCTTGAAAAGCCCGGGGCTTGTGCTAACTTCTACACGTCATGTCAAAGGGAATCATATGGAAGGTATCGCCCACCCATGGGTATAGGACCAATTTATCCCCAAGGGTCCAACGATTTGCGTACAGTTTTAGATTTCAAGAACGAGAGCGATCCAGTTTTCGGGAAACATGTAACAAGCATTAGGTCCTTGGGACTTTTCAAGACTTAAAGATTTTCGGGACCCTGATGCTTATGTACTTATCCGGCACCTATACACGTCCATAGGCACCCTGTAATGCTGCCTACGTAACAGATCCTCAACATGTCTTGGCTCCCTGCCGCAGCTACGCTAAGCCTCTGTTGGTTTGAGGCTTCAACCTCAGGCTGAAACAGAAGCAAAGGCTAATCTACAGGCTCAGGGCTTATGGATGTTAGGGTTTAGGGATATTGCCCTCATAATGGAGATCTAGAATCAAACGGAAAAGAACATGGAGAAAGACATGGAAGCTGGGCTTGTACAGGGCTTTGTAAGGATAGTTACCTACATGGTAGTTTCTATAAATAGGGAGGACTCCCAAAAGGGTACCCCCTAATTTGGAAGAGCCCCCATACCTAGAAGGCCAAGGGAAGGCAGTAAATCTTCATAGGGATCCGAATTGTAACATGAACCCCACTATAGGGAAACGTATTAACTTTTTGAATTCGCAGCACATCCTGCATACCAGCACGATTTCGCACGACCTGGTCTTGGGCCACAGCTAGGACGAAGCCGGCAACAACGACGGGACCGAGCTTCAAGGATCGGAACCTCAGCCAGGGCCGAACTGCTGTGCACGGTATACGCATACTTGGAGGGTCAGGGGGACTTTGTAAGCATACTCATAGCCTCTATGAGCCATATAATACACCAAGTTCTAATCACTAAGTCTCCCCGCCCTACAAATAATATCATTCAACTGCCAGAGAACACAAAACTGTAATCTCAAGTCACGGGCACATACTTCAAAATATGGTACGGGCCAGAACCAAGTCTTCAGGCGCTCAGCCTGTTTTTAAGTAGAGGCAGGGCATACAGGGCATTGCTAGCGCCGCGGCTTAGAATGGTCAAATGCCTTAGCTCAAAGTCTCTTGCATGTTCATTTGCTTAGCAGCGGGATGACAACATGTGAAAACATGCCTTTGCTACTTCCTGCTTGTTCAACATCGCACGTCTTCTCCTGAGCAGGCTGCAATGGCCCCGATTTGGCACGATCCTGGGGCTGCGCCACCGTCAGGCAACCTAAGACGACAGTAGGGCATTCAGGTGGCAGACGACTGAGGATCAGCAAAGTCTGAACCCCACCTTTGCTTACGCATGTGATAATGTACTCACCGACCTTTCCACTGCTTGTCACGGCTGAGATCTTGCGCGGACTGACATGACCAAGCCATATCCTACGTTCTCACCCAGAAGCCATCTGAGACCGTCGCATTCTGTGGTTTCCTTAGTTTTGACAATTCCGCGCTCGTTGCATGCCACTGATTGCTCGAGATGCAAGGCGAGGGTCCTAGAGGTGCAACTCACCGAACGTCAGCAGAAACATCCCAAGTCAAAAGCTGGCTTGGCCTGAACCTGGACTGCTGCAAAGGAACTTAAACTGAGTTTCCATAACAAGGAAAATGCATGACTTATATTCTGGTAGCTTAAGTTAATCTCCTGACAGCAACCCAGGAACCTGGACTGCATTCCAAGTCTCTGAAACACTCAGCAGCCATCCTGAACGCAGGTTGCGGCAGGTTGGTTTGCGGGGTTGGCGCTCATCTGTCTCGTTTGCCGAGCGCAACTACTGATCAGGCAGAGTAAAATGCTTTCTCAGTTGGCCATGGAGCAGCATTTCATGTGCTTCCAGCTTTGGGCAGCTTGCGCAAGAGAACCGAGGAGGAGCGCTAGCACTTGCCAATACAAAAACTGCCTGAGCTGGGAAGAGCCATGCTCCCAGGCAGAACCGTAGGCATGCGAACCTGCAGCAGGTAGCATTTTCAAATTCAGGCCCTAGCCACGCTTGTAGGGGACCATCTGCTTTTGAAAGCCAATTCTGGGCAAAGAAGTGACCTCTTCTTGTGCATGTAGGCAAACTTTCGGGGAAACTGTACTTACATGCAGCACCGGATCTAACACCGTGTGGGAAGCTTCGGAGCCTTGTGCCACCCATCACTGCGCACCTTGCAGATGGTGCAGCGTTCGAACCTCAAGCAAACAAGTACAAAAACGCAAACCGCCTCCTTCGGGTTGGCAGACAAAAATCCACAAATGGAGGGCCACTAGCTTCGCGGCCGGCTTCCTAAGCTGAAATTGTTAGTGCTGTAAACCCAAACCCTGAAAGAAGGCGGCCATGGGAAGGTTTTCTATGAAGCACCATTCGACGTCAGGTCAGGTGAGGATATCACATTTTGACCAGTTACACAGCATGCAAAGTGAGCTGACTCTTACGAGCCGCTATCCACGCATGATTTTCCTCGTGCGCCTGTCCTGTTATCTCTTGTGGGCAGATTCTGCACCAAGGCTAGAAGGCGACATTGCGTTGCTGCATCTAAGGATGAGTTTCCATCCCAGTCCCTCAAGTCAAGAAAGTACTCCAACTGCCACGCATGGCGCAGCCTATAGTGAAATGCACCAGGCAAACTCCATGGCGGGTACAGAGCCAGCTGTCGAGGCCTTTGTCCAACCAACTCGTGCTCTGCAAGCACATGTACAGGAAACACAAACATGCCCTCCAACACCTCAGTGTCCAGAAGGGCCACCAATAGCACATCAAAATCATGCTCCTTGTATGCAATTCGGCCCAGTGCCCCTCCATGCTTGCTCAAATGTACCAGGTATCTTCCTCTATCTGGATGTTTACGCTTACGAGTTGCCTTCTCCTGCACATTCCATTTGAAGCTGCCTGTGCTTAGAACAGAGTCAACTGCTGATGAAGCTGGGAAGGATCTTGTCAACTTAAGCTCCACGAAGGTAAAAACCTTAGCCATTAAGCGGTGAGCCTGCTCTTCCATACGGTGGTTCATGCTGGTTTGTAGAGCAGCTTCAGCAAGGGTGACGTGAGGAAAGCTCTCTGGCCGCTCGTAGCACTGCACCAAAGTCCTGCTGATGTCGTGCGCTCGCCATGACAAATCCTTTTTCGAACCGAGCCGAACTTGCAAAGCTTTCTGCGTGATCAAGCTGCCTGGAACTGCCCATATGATGTCCAAATCCAGAGGTATGAGAAGCAGCAGCATCCCATCGTACCCACATGTCCTGTGAAACGAATATGTCTCTTTGCAACCTCTGGACGGACTAGAAGCTTTGAGCTGAAGGCTCAGACCAATGCCGGAATCTTTGGGCTGAAAAATGGCATCCACCCTGGAAGCACCTGGAACTGGAATGATTTCATACTCAGTGGATCGGTGGCTTCTACGAAATAAATCACCGAAACGTTCAAAAGACTCCAATTCTGCTTTGTTTGTATGAGCCCAGTGCGATGCCAATGCTCGAGCGCGGGCTGTGGCTGGACTCTCCTTAAACAGCTTCTCAGTTTGGGTCGGGAAGTTCAGGGACCTCTTCAGCCGAACTGGATCCGGGCACAGCCTCCGCAGTCGTTCGTCAAACGCAAGCGCAGCGTCCACTTCCGAGCTGAAGTAGCCGACCGAGTGTCTCTTCCCTGCTACGTGAACCTGGGCTCTGAACTTGCGGGCTCTCTTCTCCCGGGACACGCCCGTGAATTGGCTTGTGGCCAACCCATGCCATCGACAGGACAGGGCACGAACCAAATTGAGGCTTGAAGCGGATTCTGCCTTTGCCTTGGCTATAAGCATGGGCGCGTTTGCCTCTGGCAGTGCAGACTTGTACTGATGCTGGTGACAACCAGCATATTCAGCAGAAGAACCTGTTGCCGCGACTTTTGTTCTGCGACAAAAACAATGGCATGTCCTGATGTGGCGGCGTGATGTGGGTTCATGATTGCAATCTTGTTTGATGCTTCAGGACGGTTGGTCACGGACTAGTGTGCTGCAGGCTACTTTCCAACTGAGCAGCAAGCAAATGGCCACGGGACGGTGCTACAGCCAGAGGAGGAAACCTTGCACAACCCCACGCTGCTCCTTCATGGTGTGTGAGAGAGAGAGAGAGTGAGTGGGAAAGAGTTAGAGTTAGAGAGAGAGAGAGAGAGAAGCTACTTAAGGTGTCCGAAGAAATCCAAGATTTCCTGCATTGAAAACATGTCGCAGTGAATGAGCGCGTGGCCACCGCAAGAAGTCGCCGAAACACATGAAGAACATACCTGCCTGGCGCAGTGCATCTTGAAAGTCAAATCAAGGTGGACCATCCTAAAATCACTGCAAGTTGCATGTGCAAACTATCGTGCTGAAGCACACATCAGTAGCCGCCTTCATTACGGCAAGCTTGTACGCCTATTCGCGCTAATTTTAGGCTCTATATATACCATGGCAGCTACCTGGAAACCTCCTGTAAGGCCATCAGCATAAGCCCTCCTTACCCTCGGCATCCCTCGGCTGAGGCCAGCCTGCGTGGCTTTCTGGCAGCCCAGCTGCTCGCGAAGCTCCGGCGTCCACAAGTGGCCTGAAGAAGCTGCAGGGTGCTAAGCTTACTGCCAGAACGAAGCATGCCGTGACGATCCCTCCGATGCGCGCGAGGACATGCGAGGACACCCAGAAGCGGGAAGTCGTGTAAAATAAAAGAAAATCCACTGAGAGGGTATGCGCGGGCAGGCTTCGCGTCCAAGGAGCTTGTCTCTGACCAATTCCCACGCCAGCGGTCCTGACAAGATCTTTGACGCTGCGGCGACTCTGGGATTGTCTACAAGAGGCAGGCCATGACTTAAGGAAAGATAGTCCGCCCCGGCAAGACTTGAGCATCAGCTTTGACTCAACAGCCACTTTCATAGTTAGTAATTGCGTTAGCGGCATAGGATAGACTGAAGTTTCTCAAAACTAGGGGTCTTGAAAATCATGTTCGGGCAAATCGAAGGAACAACCAAATTTGCCCTTGTTTGGCAGTTAAACATCCTGGCCCGCCTTTGCGTGAGGATTTCGTATCTTGAGGAGGCGCAACCTGTCGCCACCTCACCGCGAAACGTGGCTGCACTCATAGCACAGAGAAAGGCATAAGAAGCCTGCTGACAAGGAATCTGTACACATTAGATTTTTGGGGGATCATCTGGGTAAAGCCCACCACAAAGCGCGAAATATCCCCAAGGAACAAGTGAAGGCTACGCAGGGATATGCGCATTCTGTCAGTGTGGGTCCCCTGCGACTGTCCAACACGTCGAATGCCTGAGACAGGAGTCCGAGCTTCCCGTGGCAAGAGCAAATTCAGCAGTCAAGCTGTTCAATCCATCATGGTGTCATAGAATGTCTGCTCACTTCGTGCACCCGCGCTCATTCTTGCTATGAAGGGCCAGTAGCTTTGAAGCTTGTAGCCTGTGTGTACAGGCAATAAGTCAAGCTGCTGCACATCCGTCTTCTGAAGACTTGTATTTTGTTGGTTGCTCACCAGAGCAATGGGCCTTTGCCGCCCCGCATGGCTCATGGGCAGCGCACAAATTCAATCCGGCTAAAGTGTCGTTTTGGGTTCAGAACGCAACTTAAATCTACAAGCCGTGATTACCGCGACTTGACTCACTACTCCTATACACTCTGTGGCCGTGGCGTCGATGAGGGAGTAGGCATGGTTGGGGACCAGCCCAGCAGAACGAATCTCCTGGCAAAACGACCCCGGCGTACTTGAAGTACATTTTTGATGTACAAGTCTATGTAGCTCTTGGCCAGCTGTCCCCCGCTGCGCAGCAAGCAGTTCTGCGAACTGCACAGCCCAGTAGAACAGAAAATGCTGCAGGATTCTTTGAGGCCTGCAATGCCGAGTACGACCCGCCTCAAGATCCCTGGCATTGCGCCCTCTACGATATATCTGCGTGCAAGGTTCAGCTGCCAGGCATCCGCCACAAAAAATCCGTTCAGGAACGAGCAAAAATCTGAGGCTTGGAGGGACGTCTAAAACCATCGTGATGAATCCAAATGGTAATGTCCCACCATTCCGACCAACCCGT